AGACACATACAGAGACATACACACAAACACACACAGAGACACACAGTGGTTAGTTCATCTCCAAGCTGATCGTGGCTAACTATACAAAGCAGTTCTGACTTCTATTGTGATTGATTTCCAAGAACACCAAAGCACAGAACATAACAAAATATGCAATCAACCCTGGTACAAGCAAGTTTCCTAGTAACAGTAGTAGTGAATGTGAGAACGTTTCCCTGTAACAATAATAACAGCATAAAATGGATGGCTAGACAGGCAGCAGTACCCAGGCCTTAAAATATTGCCAAAGTTAGTATGAGACCAAGAGAGCAATTCAGAAGCCAAGAGAGAGAAACCAGATTGAATCAGTCAGCTTGAAGAGAAGTTTGATCCAAAGCAGCTGAGTTGTCCTAGCCAGTTTGAGATCAGAAAGAACCAGGAAGGAATAAGCTTATTCAGAAGTAAGTCTTAGAGGCTGGAAACATTCTAGGTCTAGATTAGATTGTACCTAGGCCAGAGGATTTCAGGACTAGGCCTAGGTTAGCAAATGGAGGCAGTAACCCTGGGAGACGACAATTACTTCAGGTGAATAAAAGTTACTTTTACATCTGTCACCCAACGTAGGGTAGCAAACCATGACCCTTAGATTAAGAGCCCTATGCTTTACAGACTCTTTCTTATGTAGTGGGAGAGGGGTTGAAAAGTAAAGGAGGAAATATGGGAATATTAAAGGAATAATAGAAAAGAGGGTAGATTATTGAATCTACGTTTAAGCCAAAAAGTTTTATAGCCAATAATGTAACAATGGTATAGAGCTTTGTTTATTGATACATATTAAAGTTATATTTGGTTACATTGGTATAGAGCTTTGTATACTGATACAAATTTAATATTATATTTTGCTACAACATACTATAGTATTGTACCTATGTAATTCATTTAAAAATAAAATGTTAAGTTCTAGTTATTGATAGCTGATATTACTAACTGTTTATAATAATTAAGAAATGCAAGTTATAGCCGGGTGGTGGTGGCGCGTGCCTTTAATCCCAGCACTTGGGAGGCAGAGGCAGGCAGATTTCTGAGTTCAAGTCCAGCGTGGTCTACAGAGTGAGTTCCAGGACAGCCAGGGCTATACAGAGAAACCCTGTCTCGAAAAACCAAGAAAAAAAAAAAGAAAAGAAAAAGAAAAAAAATAAATGCAAGTTATGATCAAACTCATGGTCATTTTAGATACTAGTTTAGTTAATTACAAAAATATGTTTTCTAGACTGAGCAGATAGTAAATAACTAGAAACAAATAATTCAGATATATTATAGATAGATGGTCTTCGAAACATCAAAGATCTACAGAATATGGCATTTAAAATATTTTATTAAATTAAAGCCTTTTTTGACAATGAGACATGTCTACTTCTGGCAGCACTTTCATTTAATGTCAATGATGTACATCAAAGAACCTCCATATAGAGTTTGCTTCATATGTAGCAAGCTAGCCCCTGGGCAAGAAAATGGCCTTACCTCAACTGCAGACTAGATGCTGCTCAAACTGGACACAGGAAAGTCAACTGCTGGGCTTTGCAAGGACAAGGTAGGCAAGCTCTTCATAAATTCCACTTCAGGTCTGTCAGACACTCTGGGCCAGAAGGCTGAAGATAATGCTCCAATGTTTTAGAGAAATTCTGGGGACTGTTCAGGCAGCCAACTTTCTCTGTCATTCCTATTGTTTTGGAAACTGCTTCCCTGTACTTCCTGTATACTCAGGTAATATTTATTCCTTGTCAGGTCTCTGATGGGGTTGAAGACTAGATAGTTGTAGTCTCACAATTAAGCTTCAGTTGTTTAGGATTTAAAAGGATGTTTTTAGATCTAAGATGTTTTTAAGTTAGTAATATAAGTTGTTGGTTATATCGATTATTAGCTATTATTAACATATTTTAATTAGTAATACAAGTTATTAGTTATATAGTTATATAATATATATATATGTCAGTTATATATAGGTATATACCTATACCCAAGTTATATAGAAAATTATTTAGGTACAGAACTCAAAACTTACCAAGACAGGATAGATATTAGAGTACTTTACTAAAAACTTACCAGACTGTACATTGTAAATTTAATTCTACTTAATAGTTTTCATAATTGTTTATTTTTTAAAATTTTTATTTATTTAATGTATGAATGCTCCGCTGCATATACATCCACTTGACTAAAGAGGGCATCAGGGGGCTGGAGAGTTGGCTCAGAGGTTAAGAGCACAGACTGCTCTTCAAGAGGTCATGAGTTCAATTCCCAGCAGCCACATGGTGGCTCACAACCATCTATAATGAAATCTGGTGCCCTTTTCTGGCCTGCAGGTGTACAAACAGGCAGAACACTGTATACATAATAAATAAATAAATCTTTAAAAAAAAAAAAAAAAAAAAGAGGGCATCAGATCCCCCTATAGGTGGTTGTGAGCCACCACGTGGTGGTTTTTATGGGAATTGAACTCAGGTCCTCTGGAAGAGTCAGTGCTCTTAACCACTGAGCCATCTCATCAGCCCCTCATAATTGTTTCGTATTTGTTAGATGTCATTTATTATTTTAAGAGAAGGAACTTTTTCATTTAGACAAAAAGGGGAAGTGTTGGGGGTTCATCTGGTGCTAAGTATAAAAGGCTAAAGTCTGAATCCCAAGATCTGGTTGTCTCTAGGCAAGCGAATTCTCTAATTTACACTGGCCTTTGTTGTGTAAACCTTGCTCCCAATTTCAAGCTATTGGTTGAATAAAAGTGGTTAAATTCAATTACCGGTTAGAAAAGAAGTAGAGAGGGCTTCAGTTACTGGGCTGGGGGTTGAAGGTGGGGACCACAGGGACAGAGTCCAGGAGACACCTTGAGAAAAACAGCTCCAGCAAAGAAAGCCATAAAATGCAACTATCCCTAGGGTTTTGGCTGGTTAGAAGCCCGATTAGCTTAGAGGATTAAAATAGAGTAATGCTGCTCAGTTGTTGTGCCTGTAAAGCTTGTTAAGTAAATAAATGGTTCAGTCTCATTTATCTGCTAGCTAGTTAGGTAAGAGGAAAATTGTAGCACAATTATTAAACCTCATTAAAGTATTAAATATAATACCACTGTGTTCAGTGTAGTTCCCAAGGAGGTTTACAATGAGGGTGCTCAGCAGGATGTGAACAGAATATAGACTAGGACCTGGGATATGATGGAAACAGGAGGGAGCTATTGATAGCTCTGAACTTTAAAAATACAATTTAGGAACTGGAGAAATGGTTTAGTGGTTAAGAGCACTTTCCTCCGGGCTTGGGCTTGTTGTGTGACCTCCTTCAGAGTCTGGACTCATTGATTTTTTTTTTTTTTTATAGCTGCATCCCTTGGTCAGGCAGCGAAACCTAGCACTTGTGGAATGAACAGCTTGCTAAGAAGAGGGTATGATCGGGGTGGAGTGGCGGAACAATGTAAAGATTTCTGGCTTTGAGACTTGCATGAAGGTAGATGAGGGGCTGAGCAGGAGGACAACTAATATAAACAGCCTTCTGGAGAAGCTTGAGAAGAGGGATACTTATCCACATAGGGGAGCAGCAGTGTCTATGAAGAATACAATGTTTCAGATTGAGGGTTAGAAGCTCATGGAAACCATAGGCAGAAGAGGACACTGGGACTGAATCCTTTGGGGAAGAGGGAGGGAGAGGGTCCCAGTGCCGTGGTGAAGTCGTGTTCCAACAGTGCAAAGGGTCTGCTCTACATATCCAGAGGAAGATAAAGCAGTTAGGTGCCAACTTTTGGCACCTTTGCACTGGGTGAGAGATGTTCGGGAAGATGAGGTAGCCTTAGTTGTTCCTGTCACTATCAGAGGAGTCAGAGGTGGGGGGAGAGGGGAGATGGAAACAGAAGAGGCCAAAGGGTAGAGAGAAGAAAGATGACAAGGGACTAGAAGAAACAAAAATGAAACAAACAAACAACAGACAGTGCAGAAGATGAATGAACAGCAGTCTTGGCTGCAGAAAGATGTCACAGCCTCAGGTGGTCCCAAGACCTGAAGGAACTAAGATGGAATCACTGAGGATGACTGAAGAGAGCAGATGGAGATGCATTACACATGTCTCCCTAGAGCTAAGAGAACTGGAAAGCAGAGACTTACAAGTGAGCTCCTAGATTTGAGAGAGACTGAGACTGCCAGTGAGTCTATGGGTCCCTGTGTACCTCGGTGGGTGACGCCAAGAGTGGCCAAGGAGAGAAGTAGGATTGTACAAGTACATTACTCTCAGGGTAGAGCCAGGCTTAGTGAAGGTGTTGTTGTTGTTGTTGGTGGTGGTGGTGGTGGTGTGTGTGTGTAGGTATGGGCTAAAGGGAATGTGGAAGCCAGACACAGGGTTACTGTCACCAAGGACAGAAGATTTTTGGAAATATGAGCCAGGTTTGGCTGGCCTCCGGGCTGCCAGGGTCCCTTTTGAAAATCTGTAGGCACTGTGTTGGCCCACCAGAGTCTCCAGGTTGCTGGCAGAACTTTGCTGATTGCAGGGAAACACATCAGAAAAGCATCTGGAGACAAGGAATCAGCGGACTGCTGCCCAGTCTAGAAGGGCCCAGGCCTCTCTCCTGGGTTCACTTTGGACACAAATCTAGAAGCCCCCGGATTCTGCCTCCTTCCTGCCATCTCGGTTCCTTAGGGGTTTTCAGGTTTCTTTCTCTGAAGAACAGGCATTCTTTGCCTGGGACCCAAGAACGTCTCCTTGAAACACAGATAAGTGACAAGAAACAGCAGAACTCCAGATTTTTGGGAGACCTCAGAGGGTACAGACGGCCTGGGTCTGCTCCACCACCAGGGGACGTCTGTAGCCCTGCGGGCGGTCCGGAGCCTGAGTTAGTAGGGTGGGGACCGCGATCAGTAAGAGGTGGCCCGCCCGCAGGGCTCTGAGGCCTGGCGGGGGCGGGGCGAGGCCGGTGGGGGCGGGGGCAGGAGCCCTCCGGGCGGGGCGGGGGTGGGCGCCCTGCTCCCCCTCCCCCCCCCCCCCCCCCCTTTTCTTTCTTTCTTTCTTCTTCTTTTTTTTTTCTCGGCTTCTCGCTCTCTTTCTTTGCCTCGGCAGCTGGCTGAGGGGGCGGGCCTTGCAGTCTTTGTTGCCGGAGGAGCGAGTGCAGCTGCCCGGCGGCTAGAGTCAGGACCTGGACCTTGGGAAGAGTTTAAAGCCAGGCATGTCCTGAGTCGGACCCAGGCTCGGTTGGGACGCAAACGCGCAGACGAAGGCGTGCACAAGGGGTCTTCCTGAGGCCGCCCTGTCCTGGCCATGCACCGTGGTCCGAGTCTCCTCCTGATCTTGTGCGCTCTGGCTCCCCACGTCCCCGGACCTGCATCAGGTGGGTGGCCGAGCCTCTGGGACCCGCCTGACCCTGCCATCCTTCCTGAAACCCCAGCCGCTTCTCTGTGCACCCCGCGCAGGACCGGCTTACCCTGAGATTAGGGATCAGCCGGGATCCTGTTGGCAGCTGAGAGAAGCTGCACCCAACCGGGAGCCATCCTTCAGTTGTCCACTCAGCTGGCATCCGGGACTTGCCCCTGGAGTGAGCTTGCACTCCTCGGGCTTCGGCTTCCCTGACGCTCGTGCAGCGCTGAGTGCATTTCTCCGGGGAGAGCGCTCCTTCGAGTGGGCTGGACGATTCGCGAGAGACACGGCTTCTCACACTCTCCTTCGGGTGACTCTCCTGGAAAGCAAATTAGCCAGGACGCTGTTGGGGACCGCGCCAGGTCGCAGCTCTACCGGGGTCCGCCGCTGCTCCTCCCAGCTTGGCGGGCGCGGGGGTCTGGGTCCCCATTGCCCTTGCATTTCCTGCTTCCCCCTCCCCCCAAGTGTTCAAGGGAGGGGAATGGGGAGTCGGAGCTTCTTCCTCCGCCCTGGGTTAACTCTCCCAGCCCCGCCCGGCCGGCCGGCCTCCGACGAGCCTCTGGCCAGCATCCAGGCTCTTGTTTGGCCGCGACCTGCGTTGCAGCGCGCTTCTGGAGAGTCCGGAGCAGCCGGCCTGGGACTGTGAGAGTTAGGGATGTAGGAGACCCCAGGGCCTCTGATTAGGAAGCTCCAGGCCAAACGGGGGCTGGTCACTTATCTGCAGGTGTGGGATTCAAGAGTATGACAGGGGTGAAGGGACTCAAGGGATGGACTCTGAGAGAGTTGGACCAATACGGATGGGGCAGAGGTGACCTCAATCTGCTCTGGGCAGGATTAGGCCACTTGCCTTCTTGGTGAAGATACTGTAGCTATGGGCCTGGATGTCAGGAACATTTAAACCACTGAGGGGTGTGGCTGAGGAGAGCAGCATTTGGGATTAATCTAACAGTAACATTCAAGAAGGCTGGGTGTGTGCATGTGTGAGTACCTGCTAGGATCCAGCCTTACTCATTCTTATTTCTCATCATCTGTTAGCAGAACTGCAAGGCAGCTGACTTGTATAAAAAGTTCTTCTATGGGTATGGAAACAGGTTAAAAGACTAGGGTGAACTGTCAAAGAGAGTAGTGGAAAGAGAGAGCAGAAACAGCCCCTGGGCCTGGGCCCTTGGAAGGTGTATGTGGTTGGGAGAGGTCCACCTTTTAGGATTTTTATGAGGCCCGAAGTACTGAAGATCAGTTGCTTATTACTGGGTAGTAACTGCCATGTATTGGCTGTTATCTTTATTACTCTGCTAGACAGATGCCATAGGATTTCTCATCTTTGATGAGTCCTGCTATTTGGATTTGTGGCCTGGGATGCCAGCAGGCCAGCCATCCTTCCTTCACTAATCTAGGCATTGCTCTCCATCAGGGTGGAGTATGTGTCTCTGGAATCCCTCTGTATAGGAGTGTGGGGCCTTCTGGTTTCTGGTCTCAGGATTTCTGACTCTGAGGCTGTAGACCTGTTTGTCTTTTTTCTGAGCATGGATTCTTGCCACTGAATGGAACATCAAGGAGCATGTCCTAGGCTTTTAGGAGAATTTGTACTAATATTTTTCTCAAGGTCTCCGGGGTTGCCCAGTTGGTTATGACTTCCTCTTTTCCTCACACCCATTGCATTTTCCTCTGCATTGCTCTGTAAGCCCTGAGTATATGTACTTCTTCAGGTCATTTGAAGGGCTGGATTGTAATTTAGGCTCTTGATAATGAGGTGAGGGTTAGTTCAATGTTGGCATTTCTCTGGCAGAAGCTCTGAAGTGAGAGTTGTCACCTAGGGGTGATACACAGAGTCTTTATCACACGAGTATGTGTTATGAGGCAGGAGCTCAGTCATATCAAGGCAGACCTGACCTGGCAGAACACTTTGGCATGAGCCACTGGCACCCTGCTGGGTGGTGCCAACTGCTCTTCCAAGGGAATTTCAGCTCCGATGCTCAGTTCCTGTGTTGGTCGACACTTGTGAATATATTTGAACCTGCAATTATCCTTTATTGACACTAGGTGCTGATGATTTCAGCCACCAAAGCCTCTACCAAGGTCTTCTGGTAGACATGACTGGTAATTACTCATCTTTTAATTCACTGTGCTTATCTTTTGACATGGTTTACGGCTAAGGAGATGCCTCAGTTCACACGGTGTATGCTGAGCAACTCCAAGGACCTGAGGTTTACAATGGGCTGTCTCTGATGAAGATCTCTTCATCCCAGTTCATTCCAGTCTAAGCAAGGAGCATCTCCTCTCTTTGCTTGGACTTTCTCTATACTGCACCAGGGTCAGAGGCTGTAGATACCCCGTGCCAACCTTTCTATTTGATGAGGGTAGGGTAGTGTCTTTTGCATTTCCCTGGACTTTGGAACACCAAATACTCCCAAACAGTTAGTATCCAGGGCATACACCAGGTGCCGTGAACCCAGCATTTCATGACAGAATGAGCAAACAAGGCTGGTGGCAAGACAGATTTGTTTAGAAACAATGGGCACTTGGCCTGTTTATTGCTTTTTCCACTTTGGCTAGAGATGAAGTTTTTTGACTGAGTGAAAGAAAATACATTCATGATACTGAACAGACAATATATCTATACTCAGCCTCAGTGTTGGCCACAATAGTAAGTAGTGGAGACAGACAGATGGGAACACAGGTTTCAAAGGAGGTCTCACTGCCTTTCTCCAGTCACTTTTGACAGGTAGGAATTTAGTCTGATGTGTGTAGATAACAAGACTTCAAGGAAGGCTTGGAATTGAAATTTTGTGTGTGTGGGGGGGATAAAGATCATATAATTTTTCAACATTAGAAATTGACTAATTTTTTTCGATATATGCCAATAAATAGAACAGGTCATAGGGTACGAGTCCCAAATAGTTTTATTAGGATGCCAGGACAGCAAGCATGCTAGCCTCTGAAAGGACCCAGTCAGAACCTCTGGGAAGGTATGATTACACAGCCTATACATCTTGGGACCGTAGAGCCCCAAACCTACAGAATAGAAGTCTGTGGGCTAGGTCTTATGTGCCTGTAGCTTTTCGAAGCTCTGTAGGTACCACCAAAGCTCAGTCAGTCAAGTTCACTCACAGTCAAGTTCCCTGAGGTTTTTGCCAAAAAAAAAGCTTCCTCATCCTCCTTTGCGGAGATGCTGATTCAGTGAGTCTGAGATGGGTCCTGGGAATTTGTTTTTAAGAAATTCTTGTCCAGGAAGTCTGGGAACTCTCTGCACTTCCCACCCCCTGAAGTTCATTGATTGGAAAGACTTGCTCAGAGCCACACAGTGATTCTTCTCAGCTCACTCGTCCCGTGACTCTCAGAAAGGTCAGGGCAGCTGTGGGCAGAGGGCCACATCTTGAGTAGGGGCACACCATTGGCATGTGAGTGGCATCCTTCGAGAGTTTTGGCAGCAGGTTAAGAGAGGGTTTGGTTCTGTAACATGGCCATTGTCGAGCCTCTGAGTAGGCTTAGCCTCCCAACTTGGCAGGTGGCAGCAAAGAGTTCCGGATATGTCTGCAGGACACTTGGACCAGAACATTTCTCTGGGCCTGAAGGGTCAGGTGTCAGGCTGAAAACCTCAGTGAATCAGAGCAGCAAGTTTTTGAGCTGAGCCTGGAGTCTAGTAACTTCGGAGAGGGGAAGGGCTAGGGGACAATGGAAGAGCAGGGGACTCCCAGCACCAATGCAGTAGGTGTGCACTAAAACAAACAAACAAACAAACAAAACCGAAACCTTGTTTTTGAGAGTATTAAATAACTCAGTTTGGACTCACGCTCTGTATGCAGCAAAGGATGATCTTTGATCTCTGATCCTCATTTCTCACTTCCCAAGTGCTGGGATTACAGGTGTGTGCCACTAGTTTTGCAAAGCTGGTGATTACACCCAGGCTTACATACTCGTATGTATGCTATCCGTCACTGTCTGAGCTGTATCCCTGAGATTCCTTCTGGAGACTAGCTATGGACTTCTAGGCAACTGGTCTAATCAAATTTCTTCATATCGATGATGGGAAAGGACAGAAGTCTGAGAGTATAGATGGATATTACTGAAGAGAAGCTATTTGGGAAACGGGGTCAGGTCTTCATTCTTTCAGTCTCAGTGTGTGGCTTTAGCTTACTCTACCTCTCTGAGCCCTCATTGGCTCTCTTACCTGGAAGGCAGTCTGATATACCTTATTCTTGGAGCCCTAACCTAGAGTCTTCAGCCTGAGGGACCACAAATCCCAGGAAGCAATGAACCTGGATTGGAAAATATTACACCCACAACTCTTATAATATCAAGTGATATTTAACATTTTCTTTAATTATGAATAAGACTAACACACTTAATTTATGAAGTATGAATATTTAATTATGAACATTATCAATGGATCTCAATATTAACACACACGTGTAGAGGCCAGAGGACAACATTGGGTATCATCTTCAGGAATGACATTCACCTCCATTGAGACAGTGCTTATCATTTGCCCAGAGCTAGCCAATTTAGCTGGACCGGCTGGCCATGGAGTCCCTGGGATCCTCACTCTCCACCTCCCTAGTGCTGGGATGACCTACTGTGCATCATGTGACCTGGATGTTTATGTAGTTCTGGGGTAAAAAAGTGCAAGGCAAGCACTTTACTGGCTGACTTACCTTCCCCAGCTCTACAAGTACATTTTTTTAACTTAAAAATTTATTTTATTTTGTGTATGTTAAGTGTGTGTATGTGTACCACATGTGGGACTGAGTGGGACAGAAGGCAAAATTAAATCCCCTGAAACTGAAGCCACAGGTGTTTGTGACCTGCTGTGCATGTGCTGGGAACTGAACCCAGGTCCTCTGCAAGAGAAGTATATGTCTTAACTGCTGACCCTTCTCTCCAGCCCTACAAGTAATTTTCTTGTCTCACTGAGGCAGAAACTTTGAAGTAAGCCTTATTGCTCATCACTACTTCAAAATAACCGTAGTTTCTAGTGTTGTCATTTGACCTTGCTTAATGACTCAGTGACCACACAAGATGGATTCTGCACTCCATCTTCAAGGTTATTTTGAGAGCTGTAATTCCATATGGTAGACCTTTTTTTGATCTTCTTTGTTTCTTAGGCATTTACAAATGTTTTTCTAAAAAAGGCATGCACAGAAAAACAAACGAACAAACAAACAAACAACATGAAAAATGTTTTTCCTTTCTGGACAGTCTAACAGTAATAGAGCAATTTCCAAACCCTAAGGGCTTAAGCTGAGGTCTTCAGACTTTCTCTAGCTCATGAGCTCTTTGCTTCACGAGAACACTTTCAAAGAAAGAAGTCATAGGTGCTCCATGGAGACAGGAGCAGAGAGGTACCAGAGGGCCCCATCTAGATAGTCCTCCTCCCTAACCCAGGAGGGCAACAGATATGTGCATATCCCACAGGCATCTGAGGACACACCCCACCAGGCTAGTAACAATTCCAGTAATGTCTGCAGAGTCTAGTGGGCCAGACGCTGCTGTATGTAGAGTGGCTTAGCATGCTCAGTCCTCAGAAGAGCCCAGCAATGTAAGTTCTGTTGTTATTCAGTTCTACGCATTCATTCAACAGATATTTCCTGAAACACAGCTGTGTCCCAAACACTGCTAGCACTTAAATTTTTCAACAAACAATATGAAGATTTTTACCTTCCTAGAAGTGACATTGGGAGGAGAGAGGAAACAAAGGGACACATAACAAAAAAATGTTAAGTGACAGGGTGTGTTGTTGCTGTGGGGGGAAATAAAGCAGGGACAGAGAAAGACAGTGAGTCATAATATTAAAATAAAATGGCCAAGAGAGGCCGCACAGAGAGATGTTTGAGCAAGGGCTTTAAGGAGGATATCATGCGTGAACCATGGTAGAAACAGACACAATGCAAGAAGTTACATCAAATTTGTTGGCTGTAATTCACTGAATATTCCTTACTTAAATCATTTGGTACTCAGTCATCAGCAAACAGGTTTGAGCTCCCTCCCTCCCTTCCTCCTTGTCTTCCTCTCTCTCTCTTTCCCTCCTTCCTTCCCTCCCTCCCTCCT